CCCACGCGGGCGGCCGCCTGGCCGGGAGCCAGGGAGCGGGGGCAGTGCCCTCCTCCCTTCTCTGCTCGATCCTGGGCGAAGTACCGTTTGCGGTGCCTTTGTCCCGACTTAAATAGGGCAATTCGCAGAGGCACTGATTGGCTCAAGCCTGAGGGGGATGGGAGTCTGATCTGGTGGCCAGAACCAGGTCTGACCCGGTTCCAAAACCAGGGAGGTCACAGGGAGCAAAGCCCCTCTCCTGCCACCAGAACCCCCACCCCCTCCACATCAAACCATGACAAGTGTTCAAAAAACCTTTTTCCTTCAAGAGGAAAGCAAAACTTCACTCGGCATCCTTCTCTAATAAAGTTAGTGGAACGTATAGAGAATGAGAGAAGAAAGATCCGATCTCCTCCAACCAGGCCAGTTAAAATAAGTGCAAGTACGTATCTTTTTCTAAGTTTGTTTTTATCTCAGAAGTAGTCTTGCGTTAAACATTCAGGCTTGCCATCTTCACGTAGGAGATGCGGATGTTAAAACAAACATGTCTTAAGAACTGTCAAAAATAGACAAGATGGGGAAATCCATGGTGCCTGTAAATCTGAGGCTTTACAAGACTGATAGTGAAAACAAAGCTAAAATGATCCGTGTTCAGTGCGTAAGCTTTTACGTGTTCAGTAGAAGCTCTTTCCAGTTTGGTAGACCAAACCTGGTCACAGCTTGTGCAGTTGCAACGCAGTAAATATATTCATTGAGCTCTGGACCAAATTCAGCACGCTGTAAGGAACTCTAGCTTCCTCTAAAACACCAAATAGACAGGGAGTGGCATATTACTATTCTGTGTTTAAGAAGAATATTAAATCCGTTTTTACGTATAACTGTCTTGACTTTGTGTGATGTCTTACTGGCTACAAGCTTCTGTTTGTGTGGTATAGCTGATTCTCTGAATATTGTATCTTTCTCTGTGAACTGCTCTAACCCTGGTTTGTTGTGGAAACTGTGCTTTAGATCATTATATCTAAGTGGTTCTCTATTCCATAAAATTGCCAGTAAATTACCTATCATTGTTCTGGCTCTTGTTAGGTATCCTCTTTGGAGGATAAAAAAAAAAAAAAAAAAAGGAGCTGAGGCTTTAAAATTTGTTTGATGTAAGCTGCCATCCAAGTGATCAAATCAAGTCTGGGCTGCAGTTTGAGAATAACAGAGAGTCTTAGTGTCTTCTCATTAAATGTTCATCCCACATCAAATAACACAGTCTCCTCAAGACAAAATTTAACTTCTACATTTGACGTACTAACAGCTTTGCTTTGTTTTCGCCCTCCAACCAGGTACTGATCAAAATTTATCAGCTTTCCAAAGTGAAATGGCTCAGGTTCCAGCAATGGCTGAACATCAGCTGGACGGACAATCAAAGTAAGTTTGTATATGTGTTAAGGTAAGAAGCTCTATTTTGTCGCTGGCCATTAAGTTAAAGCTATGCTCGGTTTGAGTTGGGCAATAGTCTGCAAAAACCAGTAACCCCTAATACTGCAGGCTATTTTTTTACTTATTATTTTCTGTTTCGTGGCTCGACAAGTACAAGTTCATGTTAAATCTTTCGTATTGCGGAAAATAATTGGTCAGGGCGTTCATTTCTGCGTGAAGGTATTAAAAGATGTTTCCACTTTTGTTGTTTGTTTTGGTTTTTTTTTAAGGAAAGAGGTGAAAATGATATTATCAGGATCTGCTTTGGAATGTAATCTGTCCTCGCCTGAGACAGTCCCCAAGCCCGAACCTCCTCACCCCGCAGCACCCTCTCAGCTGCCAGCTCTGACACAGCCACTGGGTGTCTGTCCTCCAAGCCACGGTTCAGTCTCACCAGTAATACTACCTCATACTCATTCTGGTGTTTCATATGCAATATATCTGCATCCTTCCCAAGCCCACACTGTGACAACATACAGCCCAAGTTACATTGTGCAGCCTCTACCGTGTGCTCATGTAACTGGAATTGAGAGTATTAATTCCAAAGTATTAAAGAAAATAACCACTGAGGAAGGAGACAATCAGATAGCTACAGATGAGCCAACAAAATCCCTGACAGCTAAAGAAAGACCACCTACAACATCAGAAGCTGCATCACAGAGGTGCCTTAAAAGATCACAAGCATTAGAAGAGAATAATTTAATTAAAAGGTATAGAAGAGATGAGGAAAGCCTTGATACTTCTCTGGTAAGTCAAATTATTTTTAAAATGCCATTTTATAGCTTAAATGATGTTGGCACCTACTCGTTTTCAGAGTGATTTAGGAGCCTACCAGATGTTGTCAAATTTATAAATAAATTGTTAAGAAGCCTGTCAGGGTAGTAATCTTGTAAACGCTTAAGCCTTCAGTTTACTTTAAGAGCATTTGTGCTGCAGACTTGCAGAACCTTTGCTGTATGAAACAATATTTCATGTTGGTGTTTGTAACATCAGTTCTTGTGGTGTTTTCATACCCACCTTTCTGGAGGGTATGGAAACGGTTAAAAGATGAAGTTGTCTGCTGTTCCTTGCTAAAGCAAGTGTGTGTAGGTGCTTTAAATAACATTGCACTTGAAGGGATGACTTGCATTTGTTGTGCTTGCTGATGTTTGAGGGGCTGTTTTTTGGTTTTTTATATATATATATAAAATATCACATAATCTTGCTGGTGTTTGCAAAGCAACAGGCAGAATATATAGAATACAATATAACATATATCTTTGAAAAGCCAACCTGGGGTCAGGCTTTATTTTTTGCCTTGTTCCTCTCTCTTCCTCCTCCAAACATGTATTTCTAAGATGTGTTAGAGTGTACAGACGCTAGTCAAAATAAAACAACTCCCAAAACATTATTTCAAGACTTACCTCTATTTATACACTGATTCTGAAGCAGTTCAGGTTGCTCGTCTTTCTGGCATTAATTCTTGGCATTAGAGGTGTTGGGAGGGCAAGCAGACACGTAAAAGGTGCTGGACAGGGAATGTCTCAAAATCCTGATACCTTCTAAATATTTCTATCCAATGTCGTACGTTGTTAATGTTAGATTGCTGTAGGCATAATAGTACAGCATGTGAAAAGAATAAGAGGTTCAGATGCAGTTGATGCGTATGGAGAAACTGAGTGTGGATGGCCTTCTACTCCTCAGTTGCTGAATGTTTTAGAGTCTCTGTGAATTATTAGGCTGCTTTAAATTGTCCTTGCCAAAACACTCATGAAATGTTATCCGCGTGTTGTGACAATGTGTGGTGTCAAACATCCCCTGGCTGTGAAGGAGAAAGAGGGGATGACATAGAACTGGTTGTCTTATTGACTAGAAATTTTTATAGCACAAACTTGAGAATCAGGAGGAAGGAGAAAGCTTGCTCTCCTAATTTTTAAAATGTATAAATAGCATTGTAGACCTTTAATTGAGAATGTTATGTCTTACAATGCCTGCCTTTGGCTTTGTATGTACTTTTTTTAAAGGGAGAATCCATTAAAAGTGAAAGACCGCCTTCCAATAGCTCACAAATTAATCAAGCAACGAACAATATCAAGGAAGAAAGACAGAACAAAACCAAACATGTCGGGTTGCTGTAACCAATCTAAAGGAGAAGATATTCCAGAAGATAAGGACAAAATCAAAACTAAACAAGACATACCTGTAGTGTTTGCCATTCCTGGTCGTGAGGTAAGCTTTGTTAAACA